CCAGTTCAGTAGGTAACACGTGAAGGTTTCATGCCTGGCTTTGCCCTCAAGGCATGTGGAAGTGAACCTGAATGAGATTTATGCATCCAGATTTTCACACTCTATCAAGTTCCCTGCAGTCATTCACTTTCCTGACCTGACTTTGAAGCTGTTTAGAATGGGCAAATAGAGCTATATTATTTTTATATATATATATATATATATATAGTTTTAAAATTTGGTATTGTTGTACTATCCTTAATTCTCATATTTCAATTATTTTTGCTAACTTTAAGACAATAATTTTAAAGATTCTAGGCAGTTTTAAATATTTTGGAATTTTAAAAAGCCTATTTTTAATATCCTAAGGATAGTTTGTTAGAACTCCTATAAATAGTTAGTTATAAAAGGAAATGTTTCTGAAAAATTTCAGTCACAACTTTTATAGAGAGATTGTGTACAAAAATAGCTAACATGTATTACACTTTATAGGTTGAACTGAATTTATATATATATAATTTTAGGATCATAGTTACTATAATTTTAAGATTTAAGATTATGAAGGAGATGAGAGAAAGTAAGATGGAGAAAAAAGACTGTTTACTGCAAAAACACATCATCCTTTGAATATTATATTGGGTAAGAGGAGAGATACAAATTTCACACTTCTAGTTTTCTCCTTAATAAATGTTTTCTATTTCAAATAAAATGTAGAGGTAACCCATAAATTATTTTGCATGATAGACACTTCTACATAATTTTTCCATTGTAATGAATTGGATAATAAAATCTTGTATATGTTCCGTATTTGTGTATTTGCAATAGCAAAATAACGGTAGAATACAAATGATATCCTTGGAAATGTAGTTTTTATTTTATTTAGTTTATTTCATTCACGTAGTGTTATAATGACAGTTATTATAAGAGATTATCCCTGTATTATTTGGTAAATTTGGTTACTACTGTTGAAGGAAATACGTTTTTGTCTATGTGTTTAGTATCAGTTTTGATTATGATTTTCTAAGGGAACTGGAAGAGGAAAATACATTTTAGTATCTAGAATAGGATATGTGTGTGTGTGTGTGTATACATCATCTTACATTTCTCATGTATTGTACCTATATATCATTATATGACTTTTTCTCAACCTATTTAGTTAATGTTAATTGAAATGTGAAGCAAATTGTATGTGATGATTGTTTTACATAAATTTTTAATAAAGTTTGTTTTCTGCATCAGTTTTGATAAGTTTTTAAAAAGGTTATTTGGAGCTATTTTCCAATATTGAGAGTTTCATTAAATTATAAAATGATGAGATTTTTATTATGGAATGATTTTTGATGATCTTTTTCTGAAATTTCTTTTTATTATATTTTGTACAATCTGTAGCTTCCACATCATAAGTTTTAAAACGATATTTGATATGATTGTAAGTGTATTTAAGTCGATTTTTGACTTAGGTTTTTATTCAGGATTTTTTTTCCAGATGGTGCTTAAGTTTTTCTTTTTTTTCCTGGCTTACTATCTCAAGGAGCTACTGTCAATAGGTTGATATTTATTTCTGGCTTAAATTGCTTTGTCTTTTTAGCACCTTCTCATCTATACCCATTGTTAAAAGATAAACTGAGGCATATTAAAATTTTAAGAGTTTATTTGAGCAAAACTCAATTCCAATCTGGCAGCTCCAAACCATAAGTGCTTAGGAGTGCTCCCCATCAGAGCCAGGTTAAAGACTCACGTAGCGAAGGTGTGGAACCAAAGAAAGGAAACTGCTTGATTGGCTGTAGCTTAGAGCTCATTTGGCTTTTTGTGATTGGTGTTCCTTAGTGTTTCAGTTTCATAACCTTGAGGCGTTTATAGGCTTAGATTTTGGTTTGCCACACATAGGCCACCATGGCATTAGCGCCACCTCAGTCTAAAGGCTCCTTGTTTAATTAGTTTAACACCATTTACATTTTCATTTTTTAGGAATTATACATGTGCATACTTACCGTAAGAGTTCTTGGGACCCCTTCTAGTTTGTTGATTTGATTTCAGTTCACTACCTTTACTAAAAAGGGAAATTGAAGGCAATTTCTTCTTAATGAGTTTTAGACATATTTTTACTTAATCTGTTCATTACATTATAGTACCTAAAATTTAAATCCTCAAGTTAACCTTTTAGTATCACACAGATAGGGTTAAAAGTTTACTAGGTTACAAAACTTTTCATTATCCTTTTTACTTTCTACAAACACCATAATACTGTTGCAGCAATGGTCCTTGAAAGTATCAACAATCTAAACTTTTTACGACTGTGTATTTACAATTAATATAAATGTTTTCCTATTACTCAATTGTGTTTATTCTAATTTTTGCAGGTTGATTTGGGGTCTAAACTAAATAGAGGTATTATCATACTTTATTATATCAGTACTATATTTATCAATGATATTATTGCTAATAGGAATCAATATCACAATTTATATTAATTCTAGTAATTGGTGGAATGTTCAGAGATTATTGAACTAGTGGTAAGAATTCAGTTCTAGTTACATTTCTGCCACTAACAAATTCTAAGATAAAGCAAACTCTTTTACTTTTCTGAACCTCATTCTTTGTAAAATTAAAAGTTGAAGAAAATCTTTTCTAAATTTCTTTCCAATTATAAAATAAATTATGATTTTAAACCATACTTTAAAAATGTATACAGAAATCTTTAAGTCCGAGACATTCTGGGCAGCTTGAAATCTAAAGGAAAAGTCAGGAGAGGTGTCTAGTAATTGAAACAGTTTGATTTTTTGAATTTGGAATTTATTTTTCAGACAAAAGAAAAAAAAAGCAAAGTTAGCTTGTTTTTCGGAGATTTACTTCTAGAATTATAGCCAAAGATATTAAAGATTATAATTATTTAACCTCTCTCTAGAATTTCTCTTATCCCGTGTAAAACAAATACTATCTACTTCATAAAGTGTTAAGGTGATGAATTCTGTAACATGAGTAAAATATTTGGCCTCTATAAATTTTAGTTATATTAGTGTTTAATTTGGGAATAAAATAATCATGTTTATATATATTCCAGAAGACACACAGGAAAATTAATTGTAACAGCCCACAAACAAACTACCAACTATTCTCCTTTTCTCTGTCATTTTCCCTTCACTACAGTTGTTCTGAAGGAACCTGATAAAATACTTTTTAAAAATAGTATGAAACATCCTGAAAATATTTATGATGATTTAATGAGAATGCATCTTAGAAATTTGGTATACGGCCTGTTAAATTTGATTTCTCTAGTAACTAATTATTCGATTTGTTAGTATACAGTAATATTCAGACTTTTTAACCCAGAAAAAAACCACAAATATGTAATGTTAATCAAATGATTATTTTTGAGCATCTGCTTTGTGTCTAGCACTGTGCTGCTTACTACATCTGACTAATTGACCTGCACATAAAAGAAAGAAAATAATATATATATATGTACTGAGATGATGTTTGAAAGAATAAACTCAAGGCACCTATGATGAAACCATATGTTTAAAGCATATTTTATCATCCTTGCATTAATGGGCCTAACTTACTGTTATCAATGAAATTAACTTAGTTTTAATGCAAATTGTTTACTTTCCATGAAAAATATCCAGTATAAAGTCTTTTAAAAATACATGATAGGACTATACTAAAGATGATTAAAATATCTGTAGGACCATCAATTTACACTAATAACTGTTTCTTAGAATTGTCTGTACTTCTGTGTTCTCTTTTACTAATTGGTAGGGTCTATAGAAAGTGTTGTTGCCATGGGCTGTGTAAAACCTCTTTCCGTCTGAAACATGCTTTGACAGAAAGAGTCTTATGATGCAGCTATTCAAATCTAACAGGCTGAAGCACAGCTCTCTTTCCCATCATGTCAGGCAGGGTGGGTTGGGAGAGGTAATATTTGGAAGAAGTAGCCGTAGAAAACACCCCAAGATATGGAAACAGTTACCTTTTCTCTGGGGTCTCTTATGACCTTCAACTAGAGTAATCATTTTTACACACTCAAACATACACACTCACACTCAAATACACTCCTTATTGTGGTTGTGTTTCAGTCTTGTTCTATAAGACTGTAAGATCCACAATGACAGTTTTCCCTTCTTGTTCTACTTTGTGCTTACACTTCCTGGCATAATGCCTGCTACATAGTATATGTTGAATATTTGTCCCACTGAATAGAATGTCACTGATGTTTTCTCTTTGTCAACTTTGTTAACCCATTAATATGCCTTCACTCCTCACATCTAACACACACACACAAGAAAAGAAACACAGCATAGCATGTGATATGTGACTGTTAACAATGGGTGGCCTGTCATTGTGGAAAAAGCATCTCACTAGGAAGTAAGAGATCTTGCCTCATTGGAGCTCTTCCACTAATTAGCTGAGTGCCCCAAGGAACCTCTCTTCCCTGGGGCACAGAATCCATAGCTACTAAACAAGAGAGGTGATTTTTAGGATCCATTCCCACTGATGTCTATGAGTTTAGAATTTTTAATTTACATTCTGGATTTTAAATTTACATTCCTCTCACTTAATCATTTTATAAGGTCAAGACTGCTGCACTCACATCCAACAATGCCTGTATTATTGTGCATATATGTGTGTATGTCTGTATATAAGGGTAGCCAGAAGGGACTGGCCACACTTACAGTGGTGACTTTGGGGATAGGAGAAAAGGGGGACGGACTATGTGTGGAAGTCAAATGGACTTTGTTTTCTTCCTCCTTCCCCAGCCTTTTAAAAAACTTTATAAAACTACATATCTGACTTATGTCATTAAAAAAATACGAAAACTGGAGACAGCCCCATGGCCTAGTGGTTAAGTCCAGCATTCTCCATTTTGTCAGCCTGGGTTCAGTTCCCAGCACAGACATACACCAGTCAGTGGCAGCCATGCTATGGTGGTAACCCACATACAAAATGTGGAAGATTGGTATAGACGTTAGCTCAGGGTGAATCTTCCTCAGCATAAATAAATAAATATATACATACATACAAATATAAGAATAAAAAGGCTGAACAGATAATAATATGATGTGGGAAAAATAGGTGTTTCATTTTTTTTATTCCTTTTTTATAATCTCAAAAAGACTGCTAATTTGGTTATATGAATTAATGGCTCTTAAAGTTGTATTTGGTGTTTTTATAGTGGAGAATTCAGATATATGCTAGAGATAGGGGAGAAATTTCCCTAATGTTTTCATATTGCCTTTTGCATGGCTGTCAAGTTTGGCCTCAGTTAAATCTGCTATATAATATGTGTGATAGAGAATCTGAATGATATTCAAGACTCATAGATTGAAATTCTAATTTCCAGATGCCATAATTTAGAGCTAATGTCTCCCATTAAGGTTTTTGTTTTATCAAAATAATTCTACTTGGGAAAAGTGAAGGAACAAAAAAGCTCCCATCATACTGTCCCTTCCTTTCTTCCTTGAAACTTTGTTGTAATACTTAAATCCCAGCTGGTAACTGCCCTTCCAGTGGACTAAATTCCGCCCTCAAGTACTCAGACAGGTCTCCCATTGGGCCCAATTCTGCTCTCCTCCTTCAGGCAAAAACTCCCTTTGAATTTAAAGTCTCACTCAGGTACTATACTAATAGGCACCATAGACACACAGAGAAAGGCAGTAAAGGGGAGTTTGTTGTGTAAGCATTGCTGACTCAGGATTCTGAGGTATTGTACCAAATAGTCTGTAAAGAATTTTGGCAATTATAAATTCTCCATCAGATATTTACTAACTCAGAGAATTTCTCATGGATCCTTTCTATGCTGCTGAATGTAACTTCTATGAGTCAAGGTAACTGTCAAATATCCAAAGATACTCTAGTTATCAGATTTTAAGAAGCCAGGGGTTCTCAACCTAGAAAGAATACCATCTGTCTGACAGTTTCATGATTATTTACTCTAAAACAATCAGAATAAACAAGTGAAGGCAGATTTCAAAAGTACTAAATTTATTTTTTTTAAAAAACCCAAGTTTTTCAATTAATGTTAGCAGAGAGTGATATTTTAAACCACCCTCATTTCACTGAGGTGTTTGATGAGTTATGCAGCCAGGGCTGGCCTTAGGCAAATTGGGCTTTAGGTCATTTTTGTCTTCAGTTTCTTTCCTTTCCAGTGTTCTGCTCAGAAGCCTCCTTTTTCCTACAGTGTCTCGGATTTCCGAAGGCCCCAGCCTAATGGCTCACAAATGCCTCCCACTCTCTATCCTTTCCATGTCTAAGATTTTCTCTCTCCTACCTTTCTATATGACATCTGCATTGAGAGAATGTCCTTCCATTGATAACCCAACAGAATAAAATACAGATCGCAAATGAAAAGGTGTTCTGGTGGAAGCATCTTTTTAGGTATCATTCCCAGGGCCTAAAATCAAGGCCTCAAAGAAGCTCTAAAGAGTTATAGTTACGTGACAGTGATAATACGATTATGTTCCTAGTTCCTCAGGCACACTGATGTCTTCCTTATCTCATACTGAGCCTTTTTGGAATTTTCTCTGCTTGAAACACGGGGCTATCCCCATTTTACTCTACCATTGTCCTCTGTACCTTTACCTTATAGCCTATTTGGCTGTAGATTATTGAAACCTAGCCTAAACTAGCTTATGAAAGAGGTTTTGTTGGCTCACAAAAATTGGAAGTGCAGGAATGTTTTGGGCTTTAAGCACACGTAGATCCAAGGATGAGACTCTGTCATTAGAATACTTTCTCATCGTCTTCCTATCTCAGCTCTACATTTCTCTCTTTGGGCTTCATTCTTAGCCAGTCTCTTCCCAAATTGTGATAAAAAGGGCTCAAAGCAGTTCTGTTCTCATATTATCTTCATGGTTTTGTTCTTACTGCAAAGAGCATGCCTCTTGCCAGATAGCCCCCATCACTGTGAATATGGAAATAAGATCCTCTCATTGACTAGGGATGAATCCTGTGGTTACTCCCATCACAGGTAGACAGAGGGATCAGTTTACAAGAATTCCTTGGAACAGATTCACTTTAAAAATGAACAATTCTGTTAATAGGAGAAGGGTGAAAGAAAAAACATGTTGAAGAGGCAAAATATGACCATTGCTGTCCACGATAGAGCTTATCTAAAGTTATAATTATATGTGGGTTTTGCTGTCTTCCTCACTACAGCTCTGTGAATAACAGGGATTTTTCGCTTCTGTATACTAGTGCCTATTATAGTTTATGATTTGTATTAGAGTCAGCAAATATTTGTAATTGTCTCATTTAATCTTGACAACTTAAATAGATATTTTCTCCATTGTTAAAGAGAAAATTGAGGCTCAGAGAGATTATGTAACCCATCTAAAGTCATACAGATTATGTATTGTGACCCGAAATAACATACAGATATTTTAAAAAGTTACTAACGTCACTTTTTAAAGGTTGTAGGTAGTACAGAAACCTATATGGATCTAGGAATGTTCATGTGTTTAGTGACTTTCAAGCTCTTTCAATATACTTATTATGAAGTGCTTATGTTTCTTCAAGGCCCACTTAAAGTATTTACACAGTTTAAAATATCATTTTCTTTTGAAGTTAGTCATATTTTACAATAATAATGTTAATGTTTCAGAAAAGCTTTAGTAAAGGAAAAGAACTAAGGTAATACTAGTCAGTTGCCTATTTTGGGAACAAGTAACATTAAACTAATGTGTGCCTCCCCCTTTGAAATCCTGGTGTCAATAAAATTTGAAGTGATTATGAGGGACAACCAAGGTGACCAGCATGGACCTGCTGTTAGAAATTATAAATTATTTGAATCTATCAAAGCTGAATAAAAATGTTGTCCTTAATACTATGTAATGGGCAGAAAGATAAGGAATCCTCAAACTCGTACATGTAATAGCTAAGCAAGCCGTTAAGCCAAATGGAAACATATGTAGAAAGAAATAAGGAGCCTACTATCCAAGAAAATTGCCTTTACATACACTCCTGGGTATTTTTGAGCCTGAGTATTCAGGAGTTTAAATTTATGTAGTATCTACTTGAAAAGCTGCGTATTGACAGTATGGGTGTGTATTGATGCAAACTCTTAGATTATAAATCCATTTCTGATGCTCAATTGTTTTGTAATTTTTTATGCTCTTAAAATCACATAAACCATTCAGTTTAAGTACTTAACTGATTTTTCTTTTATGGTTCCTTACAACAAGCTGCGTGTCTGTTAATAATTATTCACTTTACGTTCCACATATTTGTCAAAATCCTGTCCATGATTGTTTAGATTTTTAATCCAGGTTGACTCCATAACTAGTATTTGAAGCCATACATATTTTTATTCCTACACAAATAACTGTGGCTTTAATGCCTCACCCACTACGTAGTCAGTCTTCTCATGGATTTTGTCATCATGGCAAAAGAGCTGTGTGAAATTATTAGCAATTTTGCCCAGTCTCTTTTGGAATGTTTGTTGTCCTTAGAGCCTCAGCAGGCGAAACCTCACAGTCTCCTTCAGCAACCTGTGCTTTCCTGAAAGATTGGCTTTGACAAGCCTGCAGGGGTGAGAAATAATTTTGTGTGTGAGGGTTTGCACTTCATGGGTGTCTCCTGAGTTTATTACCAAGAGGAAATGGAAAGAAAGCCATTCTCACCCTTACCTTAAACCACACGATTATGTGACCATAGTGCTGAATGATTCACTCAGCTTTGGGGAAAGTCTATACTGAGCCCTCACTTAGATAGAAACTGGTACCTGGCACTAATCTGATTGAGCATATTGATATAAATATCGGTAACCCCAATAACTGGCTACCTTGTCTTTCCAGAACTTCTAATTATCTCTTGCATCTTATTTCTCTGTTTTGGGCTATCAACTTACATTCAAGTTATGAGAAGGACTTGTTTGTCTCTGATGCTAGTATCTGCTTGCCATCTGATGGGCTGCGTCTCAGGATGCTGTGTCCTGTGTCTTACTCCTCTTCAGAAAAGTCGTCAGAAAACACTGAGCTTATTGGAATTCTGTACAGTTGTTTAGTATTCAAGAAGAGCTCTTTCCAGAGTAATCTGCAAGCCACCCTGATATTTGTAAACACTGTCATGCAGTCTTTCAAAAATAAAGTGGTCAGGTTACCAAAGGGAAGATAAAATAACTAAAGGGGGAAAATACATATTAAACATTTGTTTAGGTACTAGTAAATTTTTTTTCCCAAAGACAGCAGGCAAGTGATGTTTACATATGCCATGCTATGGAATATACAGGTTGAAAGATCCTCCAATACTCTGTCAAATGCTTTGAAAAAGTGAGCTGCCTAAGCTGAAGGCAGACAGAATATTTGAAGTAGACCACGAACTGAAATGCCCCAGAAATCTTTTATCAATTGGGCCTATGTTCACTCTTGTAATAAAGAAGCTTTTGGAGTTTATATGCCACAGTCTAATAGGTGACTGTTTAATGGGATTTACATTCACTCAAACAAAATTAGGCTGGTAAAAGACAATGCAACATGCTGTAATGTAAATGGGACTGACGGCAGAATTAAATGTTTGTGGAAACAGGGCAGCAGACCTATCAAGAGCTAATTAGACAGAGAGTTCAGAGGCAGGCTTGGAAGTAAACAGTATCAACAAAGAAAGAAGGAGAGCAAGAATAGAGAGAAAAAAAGACCTTTTGTGCAGGGAAGAAAAGGAACTATACAAAAGTTATTTAATTAGAAACTCAGATGGAGTCTCTCCCATGAGAAAAACTTATATTGTTATCTGAGACTGTTCACGATATTAAGTTGAATAATAACTTTGATAAATTATTGTGTGTCTAAGTAGTTCTTTGTTGTAATTGGATTTTGAATATTTGGCATTAATAGCATTCTCTTAAAATAGTAACTTTTCTAACTATGTTCTCTCTATGTAGAAAAATTTTTTTGGAAGTTTATCTTTGAAGTCCTAACACAAAGAATAACATTGAGACAAAGTAACAAGTTTGGGGCTTTAGTAAGGAAGGATAAAGGATAAAAATGCCTATAAACATTACAGGTAAAGAATAACAACTTTGGCTTTGAGTTTTAATCAGTGTGTAGACAACTATAATATTGATTTTTAAAATTCCAATTTTTCGTGAACAAACTCTTCATTTTAGTATTTCACTAGAGTCCCTAGTTTTCAGCTGAGCCATTGACTAGGGAAAAGGATCCAGCCTTTGGTATAGCTGAGAAACTACTTTGATGAAATAAATCAGGATCTATAAGCTTGATATTTAAAGTAGTAAAGCCTGATTACTTGATTCACTTTCCTTTTTAATCTCAAATTCAGCATTTAAATCAGTGTTGCATAAATCATTTTCCATTTAAAAAAGAACTTAATGAATATTTTAGGGTTTCAAATTGTTTTCACACAGTGTAAGGGGTGATATATGTCTTGTTTTGCATGAAACCAAAAGTAAATCAGATACACTTTAGGATATTTGCATTCTGCTAAGAATACATTTTAATTATAATAACCCTTTCAATTTGTTGAGAATTCCTATCTACTTCACAGCTCTATTGTGAAAATAAAGTGTGCTAATGTATGTGAAAGTACTTCAAAAGTGGTGGAGTACTGTTCGTATTATGTAGTATCATAGCAGAGAATCTCTAAGCATTTATGAGAGACTGTTGCTACCCTGACGGGCATATGGATTTTTAAATGACAAACGTTATATTGAGTAATTAAACCCAACAGTTCCAGTCTGACTGATTACTTTTTTGCCTCCTGTACTGCACAAACGAAGAATTGTTCTGTGGACAAGTTCTAAATTGTTTGTGGTTTGGTTAATCCGTGAAATCCATGGTCTGCATTATTGTCAGCAGTTAATGCCCTGAGATTGCTTTATTCTTTAATGAAAAGATCAGTAAGATTAGAATTGTTTTGTCCCTGGCATGGAAATAGACCAAGTACGAATGCCCAGTTTCTCTTGGTGGAGGTCCAATCTGTCTCTGACCCAGAAATATAGGTGGTATTTGGCAGTTTGTCTACCCACTTGTTACAAAGACATCTATCTTGCCTGCTTGGGAAAGAGAGAAACTGGATTGGGTAATTTTACAATAGGCATATTTGGCTTCTAAACATTCTAAACTTGTAAGGCAGCATCTTCTTAACTTTCAGTGGTACTGCCAGGGTTTCCAAAACTTGGCTAATTACCAAAATCACCTGGGGAGCCACTTACAAATACAAATTCCCAGGTGCCTTTCCTAGAGATTCTGATTCAGTGGGTCTGGGGCAGAGCCAGAAAAATCTCAAGTGACTCTAATGATTAGAGAGGTTAGCCAAGTTGGGAAAACACTTGTAGAATGGTATAAAATAGATTCCATTACTTTTGTTCATAATGAATAACAAATATATCATTTATCTTTACTTACCTTCAAATGTTTCTGAAATGAACGTGATGGACAGATTCAAGGAATGTCTGCGACTCATGATGGTTACAGCATCTCCTGGAGCCTGTGTCCTCCAGTAATGAATGAGGGTGTTCACATCACATCACAGGATGTTGTGATGATAAAGAGAAATATTGGAAAAATAAAATGATTTCAAGAGTTCAAAGAGCCTGATCTTTATTAACAACTGTCACTGATATTTGGGAGATGGGTCCTAGTCCCTGCTCTGTCACTGTGTCACTTTGTAACCAAGTTTACAATCACTTTAGCTTTCCCTAACCCTATAAAATGAGGGATTGGAAAAAAATTACCTCTGAGGTCCAGCCAGGCTAATCTTTATATGGACAACATTGCATTATGCAGCATAGTCCAAATGGGAGAATAGTCTACCTTAGGGTTATTTAGTGACTATCAGAGAACATTATGATAACTGAGAGTTTGGCTATTTTCTTACATGTAACTTCTAAATAATCAAATTATTCATTGGAGTGCTGGGTATGACATCAAATTATTTAAAATATATTTTTACACCATGGCACAATTGCACACACACACACACACACACACACACACACACACATATATATATATATATATATGATTTTTTGGTTTTTTAGACCTCTAGTTTTGTAAATTCATCATGTGCTTAATGGCATAGGCTTGGTAGTCTGGGTTAGACAATCGATTATAATGTAGCACTTTACAACACATTAAAGCAGGGTTGCACAAAATACCCTTGTTACTATTTTGAAAGGTGAATAGGCCTAAAATTCTACTATGTCACACATATAGGCATAGAATTTTATATGAACAGAAAGATGCTGTTTGGTAAGTGATGAAAAAATGATACACTAATTTAAGCTCCGTGGTATTTAATGAATCACATAATGTGCCACAGAGACTTCAGGGCTTCAAATGCAGAAATCTTCTGGAAACAATGCACTGCCTTGTGAGGAGAGAACAAGATGGCAAAGAGCTGAAAGAAACTGGAGTGACCCAGATGGCTGGAACACGGGGACTTTGAGCCAGGGATATAAATGCAATGGGTAAGCCTGGCTAATACAAATAAAAAGTTTGAAAAATGCATGATTACAGAGGAATCAGTGGTGAGATGGATGATTTCCATTTCCAAAATGTATCTATTTGACTGGGTGTGACATTAGCTTAGAAGGAGGTCTTTTAGTCTGATAAAATTTTTCATCTTTAGAGAAAAATTTTCACCCATCGCATGCCTTTTTAAACTATACACAAATTCCTACATCTCACTATTACATTTTACAAATAAAGTAATTCTCATACTGCTTTAAATATTATGGAAAGAGGGAGGCAAATTCATCAGGATCTTTAAAAGAAAATCAATTAAATTATATTAATGAAACTAGTAAACTAATTAGAGTGGGCAGAAGAGAAAATTGAGATCTATGACCCTTTCAAATGACTTTCAAAAGTGTAACTACGCTTTTTAGAACAAGAAAAATGAGGGGCCATTGATACTACTTAGGGGGAATGGGAAGAGCAGTTTCAGTAATTCATTCCTAGAGATTGTGATTTGTTTTTCCCCCATTTTCCTTCCTCAATTTCATTGAGCGGCAAAAAATGCAGAGTAAGGAGAGTACAGAATCAAGTGTGTTAAGCCGATTGATCCAGTTCTGATCCTTTTGATCATGAGAAAGTCGCTTACCTTCTCTTGTCCTCAGTTTCAGATACCTTCAATAAAAGCTTTGAGCGAGATTTCCAGGGCCCCTCCTAGTTCTCACGGTGTGTTTCCCAGTCTTCAGTCCATCTTTAATTCCATTCAGTATGCTTTCACTGCATGTTCTACATGTTTTTCCACTGTGATTTCTTCTCTATAACATCTAATTCCATTATAGTGGAATCAACTTTGGGGTGAATAAATTTGTCTGACTGCACCATTGCAGATGGAAAATGTTGCCCACTTCTGAAAAAAATGTGTAGGAGGCATTTAAGACATCTTTGGGAACAGCTGCTTTTAAAGTTTAAAAATTGATTGGTCAAACTTTGGCCTAATTTATTATTAAAAATTTAAGATATTGAATACTGATTTTTTTCACACTTGTCATTGGGGAAAACTTTTATGATTCACTTCAATCTTTATTAACCTTCCAACATGTGTTAAAGATTTTTGTTTTCTTTCTCTCACACATTTGTAGTGAATTAACCGTTCCAAGGGAATACCAGGTGCCCTGATGCAAGCTACCTGGTTTTGACAGAATTGGTTTTCAGGTCTTATCTTAACGGTATGTTGCTTGCTATAGGAACAAATTAATGATTATGTCTTACGAGCAAAAATTGCCTATATATCTAACAACTACTACTTTTATGAGAGCAAACTGGATGGCTAGTATTCAAACAGGTAATGAGGTACCTCCTTTCCTTGTTTGTTCAGTCTGTGTTGTCATCACATTGTGATTTAGGATCTTATTTTATTTTCAATTTATTTTCCATCTTCTGAGACAGATTTTTGAATTCTTTTTGAGGAAAATTTCTTTGTAGTGTAATTCAATTACAGAGACCAAAATTATTCTAAATGTTGTTCGATCTTTCTTATAAGTGAATGAGCTTTGTTAGAAGAAATAATTCTTTTCTAAAACTTTAGATTATAATCATATTTCTCTTTTACAATTAAACATTTTCAGCGTATTTATGCAAGGACTTTTTGTATTCTTTCCTAGATTTAAGTATTGTCCTTAAGTTAAGTACTCTTTCTAGAAACTAATGACCTGTACTTTCATGAGATTTCAGTTTAATTTTAAAAGGAAAAGTTGCATTTCAACACAATAAAAATGTTGAAGTTTCACCAACTTTTGAAAGAAAAGTAAACCTCTTACATTGGCATATTTTTTGAAGGAAGAAGATCCCACAGGTCCTTTGGTTAATTGGAAAAGCAAAAGTTATGAAATTATTCTGAAGACAAAGAGAAAAGATAGTAGGATGAGGAGGAACAGAAATAAGATATGATGGCCGTTGAATTAGCCTTTAAGTCATTATGGACACTTATTGCTGTGATGATGATAATTATGGGGTAAATGTGCAGCTGATTTTCTTTAATGAAATAGGATCATTAAGTTACAGAATTGTGGAATATAAACCATATCTCCCCTTTCACCCTCTCCTAACATTCCATTGCAAATAGAAACCGGCAACGTTCTATTAGTATTTGCATGAAGCTTTAATATTTTCCTTATGGAATCTTAATAATTCAAATAAGGAAATTTAAATGGAGATCTGACACACTTAGGTAAGTTCAGCAGCAAACATAAATCTGCTATTTTATGGATTCCTAAATTATTATCTGCAAAAGTTCTAGAAAGCAAGAGAAATTCAATTCAAATGGAGACGTTCAGTGTAGAGAAATTCTATTAATTCTCCCACTCTCTTCTACTTTCACAACTCATTGTTATTTATACCAGATTTATTTAATAATCAAGTTAGGTTGCATTAAAATGTACACAAATTCACATTAAATGAGCAGTGTTTAATTATTCTGATATACTTAATTTCAAAATCCTTTTCCCTCAAAGGTGTGAATTTTATAATCAGCAGTGTACAAGCAACGGAATCTATGACCCTGAAGTATAGTTGTGTCCTGTACCTCTGATATAGATCCAGGATAGAGCTCCAGAACTCCAACAAACATTGTGTGATTAAAGAGTGTGAATGTTAACTGCGTTTTTAAAATGACCAATTATGCTAGAAAGTAAGGCAAGTCAAATTCTTTTCAAATATTTATATGTTCATTTTAGTAGTTCAGACTTTTTTTTAAAGTAAAGATTGCTTTCCTACTCTCATTCTCAAATAATAGCTGCCAGACGTATGTAACTTTTAGTACTGTAGCTTTAAGGTCTAGTGAAAGACTAAAAAGATTATTTTGTGTGACCTGCTGACTTCAGCTAGTCTGTGCTTTTGCACAGAAGAGTATCAAATATGAAATGATAGAGAAGCAGAACTTCAATGTACAAAGCCGTTTGGGTTCTGATGTGGTCTAAAATCAATCAGGGCTACTTGACCCAATGTGGTTTTTCTATCGGAAACTCCAAAGTGGTGCCGCTTTTCCTCCTCGCTGAAAAGACCATAAGGCTTTCATTGTATACAGATAGAGTTTATCCATCCATCTCCGTTTTAGCAGAAGTATAAATTCAATTATGTTTGATAAAGTTAAAAAAGAAATCTTCAAATTGTACATTACATAAAAATAAAATAAAGGACTCTTGTGCTGACTAGCTGGCCCGTGAACAGAAATAAAATGTCACTTACATTATGGCAATTTCTACAGATTGCAGCTACCAATATTTTATTTGGTACATTTTATATGGAAGTAAGGTAAACAAAATTCCAGCAAAAAACAAACCACTTTGTTTTCCTCCATATTTCTTGTTGAAATATTTGAAGTACAAAATTGGTTATGGCCTAAAAAGTCTTGTCGTATTTAATAACACTAGTGGCAACTGTGGAAGAGGTCTGACATTTTTAAAAATAAACGATCAAGAGCAGTTCATTGTGCTACTAATTTTATTACAATGAAGTCCTTAGTGAAGAATCACCATTATCGGATTTTTTAATTTGTTACTATTAATTATACAATGATTTAAAGTAAAAGTGTGTACCTCCCAAAATCTATTTGAAAGCATGATAGTCATTGCTCTTCTGTTAATTAATTTCCACAATTCATTTAATAAATGCCCCTTATTTCATCATTTGAAAGATATTTATTAGGCACCTACCATGTCCTGTTTTAGGTATTGAGTCTACGGCTGTCATATTACAGTGAACGGGAAAGACAGGGACCTCAGCATCCAGGGAGGGAAGGTCAGTGATAAACGTGTCGGCAGTACACAAGATAGTTCCATATAGGGTAAGTCTTTTTGATGGGGTGACCAGGGAAGACCTCTGTGGAGGTGATTTGTGAACTGAGACCTGAAGAACAGGAAGCCAGACATGGAAAGATCTGGTGATTTTTTGGGGACCAAAATATTCCAGGCTCTACACTCAGCCCTAGGAATACAATGATGAAAATGAGGCAGTCCTTAAAGAACTCACAGTGAATATGTTTTGCTTATTTTTTAGGGGGGCAATATCATTTGGAATTCATTGTGGTCACAAAGTCTCATTAGTTAACACATTAAAAATATTGAATGAATGAATTGGCATCGGTTTAAAATTGACATTTATTATTACCTCTTCTCATATATATTGCTTATTAACATGACCTATGATTTTATGTTTTACTTATCAAGGATGCTTATGGTTCATAGTACTGGAAATACTTCTCTTGATCTTTTCAGTTAAAGTATATTGCATCCCACTGCACTTAAATCTCTCTGCCAACTTATTTCTAATATACCTCATTCCCCTTAGCTTGCTGACTATTCTCTCACGTGATAAATAACTCTGCCTTATCAAGGTCAGTCAGAAAGGCCCCTTTTACATATCTCATAAATTTTAGCCAGGTGCCACTGATGTGAGATTAATGTAATGGCACCATGGCAAGCACTCAGGCTTGTCTTAATTATGCTAGGGTTGCCGGTTCACCGTTTCTCTTCATCTGTCTCCTGCTTTAGGGAACACTAAACACTATGTCATTAGATTGTCTGTTCCACAACATTGGCTCTTTGCATTTACAAAGTCATCAGATGGCTTATGACATAGCTTTTCTAAGAAATTAAATTAAACAAATAGTGAAAACAAAATTTAGGGGTAAATGCCTGAAAAAAGAAAAGGTTTCAAATTGTGATCAGAGGGGAAAAAATTCCTCTATGTTCCGTAGTGACTTTCCTCTGACCAGTGAGTTAGTTAGTCACCTGATCACAGGGATAATTTTGACTCTGGGTGATCTCAGGTGTGAATAATTACAAGGTTCCTTTATTTTTAAGAATGAAGGGTCTTAATGGATGCTGTTGGCTGTGATCCATGTGCACATTCTCAGAACCTTTCTTCCAACGTCCCTTCCCTTTGAGAATGACTAGTTTCCAGGGGGAAGCCATCTCCAAGCCATATGTCCAACATGGGTGTCTAATTACCTCATCTATTTTTCTAAAGTCCCCATCTACTTTCCAAAAAGCATGCCAGCTTAGTCTGTTGTTGAATTTGGGAATAAAAACAGTTCATTGACCTGGGTCTTCAAATTTGGGATGATTTATTTTATTTCTGTTCTTCAGATATTAATATGCTTTTTATAAGGGAACAGATATCTAAAGCAGCATCTCCCCTTACTTTCTTAATTCAAGTAAAAATCCTTTTTGAATGACTAGTATGTTTTACTGGCTTTGCTCATCTATGAGGAGATATATGAATAAGAAACAGTCAAACTCAAGACACTTGGGATAAAGATAATCTTTTGTTTGCAATGAAATAATTTGAGGGAATAACGCTTTGGTTAATTATATAGAACCTGGAACCATGTTACTTACATTTAAATCCTCCCTACACACATACTGGCTATGTGACCTCTGACAACTTAGTTAACTCTTTCGTGCTTCATTTCCTCATCTTTAAAATATGAGTAATAATGTTACTGATCTGCTAAAGGTATTTTAAGGCCATGGGAAGAATGCAGACACATGGATGAGTGGCTGACTTACAGTAAGTGCTATCGTATGTTTGCTGTTACCACCTGGACTCTTCTTAAGCCACTAGTTCACAATGCGCTTCTGTGTGTTTGCTTTTGCAAATGTTTTGAACCTTATCTATTAGTCAAAATTGAAAAAACTCAATGTATTAAATGGATAGCATTACAGATTTGCTATTTATTTAGCTAGATAATAAAAATGAAGTTTTAATACTTCATATGATATACTAGGTGCAAAACTAGTAATAATAAAGAAACCTTCTCATGTTTCTACAACATCAGCCACTGGGCGATATGTCTGGAGTGGCAAATCATGTTTTTCTTTCTCTTTCCAGAAAATATAAAGAAATAGTGTGTTGGCCAGGAAATCCACACACTTAAAGTTGCAATAATGGTTCTCACTATTCAATGAACTTATGTAAACATTTCAATAAATAACGTTCGCATTTCTATAAATATGCTGGTCATCTTAACTTGCCAAGTAAGTCAAATGTATGGCGTTTATGGTTGGGATCTTTAATAATAATAAAAGTTATATTTAACAGCCAAGTTTTAAGTAAAAACATTATTTTCAAATAATCTCACTTAATATTTTCAAAAGAAATCATGAATTCTAGGTTTATTAAATGTTTTCTTAGTTTCATATAGAAATGGAAACTGTTAATCTGTGATTCTAAAAACTTAGAATAATTTCTACAGAACCAAAAAAGGATTGGATCTCATAATGTTTTAGCTTATTGAATCAAATGTTGAAAGTTATTTACCAATATCATTTATGGTAATCACTTCAAGCTGGCCCATCAGTCAACACACATATTCCAAATGGCTTAACCCAATAAAAGTTTTTCTCTTGTTTACTTTAGTCTAATGCTGGTCAGGTGACTTTTCTCCAACCTGGGGCTATGCCATATGGAAGAGATGGCTCTAAGGTCACTACAGGAGAGAAAAAGTAGGAGCAAGGGGGACCACTTCTCTGGGCCTGCAAGAGACCACGTCACATCTGTTCACAATTCATTGGGTGCAACTTAATCATATGATCCTAGCTAATTGTAGGGAAGGGTGAAAAATGAAGTCTTATGTGTCCAGGACGAGGAAACAGAAAATGGGATTTGCTGAACACTTAGCTTTGTCTCTTCTTCAGGACCCTTTAACTTTTGTCTATTACTAATTTTTTTTAATTTTAAAATGATCCAGATACTTTAGCTATATGTCAAAATTAAATTCAACACCTTTTTGACAAAGCATATATGTGTGTGTGAGAGAGTATACACACACAAATATAAATATATATGTGTATTTATATTTAGGAACAGACATTGCAAAAAGGTAAAATCCTTTTAACATGTTACCAATAGATACCTATTTTCATATTTTATTGCAGTTCAGTTACATTTACAAATACAGATATAATATAGATTTAAAACCCCAAATAATTGTGATCTATGTCTTGCTAGGAATGGAAATTATTTTGTTCAGAAATTTTAACTCTGGTGAGCTATGCAGGCAATGTTTACTTCTCATCAGGTTTCTCAGATATAATCTTGCTTGAGGAACCCTTTCTTGGTAGCCTTTTCTCACTTGCCTTTGAAAAATTTTCCCAGAAAAAGTGGAGATGTTACTATATTATTTTTTTTAAAAAAGGTTTCCATGTCTCCCACTCTTTACCTGATTAATGCATTACCACCTTGATTATTGTATTTCCTGTTCTTTGGCCTTCCCTGATTCCTATAAGAATATATCTGACCTATGTCTCATTATTTTAGGTCCTTATTGGGGGATTTTAACCTAGCTGATAATCTATTTTAAAGTCTATAGTAACAAACTCATTCACTGTCTGATGAAACGTACCACGTAGCTTACTGCCTAGTGCAGTATGAGAAATTTTACCAAATCCATCCACTTACATACCAGGCCTTTATTGAGTGCCTCTTATTGTTTATCATGTGCTATGTAGTGTGTGGACACAAATATGAAGGAAAAAAAGATACTTTACTCAAGGAGTTTATAATTGACTTGCAAAATAAGGTGCTTTTCAATTAATTATAATGAAAGCAAAGTCTTGATATGTATGACAATAGCATAAATTAAATGTAGCCGGAGTTCTGAGAAGGGACAGAGTTCTTCTCACTGAGGTAATGAGGTAATGAGACAAGGCTTCATGGAAAAGGAAGCCTATGAGATAGATGTCAACTGACAGGTATTATTTGACATATAGAACATTTCTAAATAAAAGAATACCATGGTCAAAGGCTTAAAGGCATATAAGTATTTCACATGTGCCAAGAACTGTTGCGTATGTTCAGCATTTTGAATAATAGGATGTAGGAACATGGTGATGAAAGATACAGATCACAAAATTTGGTTGAGGTCAATCATGGAAACATTTACTGAATGTCAAACAAACTTTTATAAATGGTACCCTTTAGGCACTGGGTCACTACTGATTTCTTTTTTTAGCATCATTGATTACCATAATCTTAGATTTGCCTTATGAACAGGTAGGCAAATCAAGAGTACTGGAGAGTACTGAGGGTGAATGGGACAGAAGCTGGATGAGGCTCTGCTCTTCCCATTCTAAAGCTTCTGCTCAGGCAGGAGTCTTTAAAAAAAATGGTAATGGGGAGTTAGTTCATCTCAATCCTTATAAAAGAATTGGACTTTTACGTTTGCCATAGGGCTTCATTTTTACTATATGAAAAATACTAAGAAGATTTATCTCAGCTAAACTTTTAGAGCATCTGGCCTTTGCTTCTCTTGACTTGGCTTCTGCTCCCTCTAAAGTAGAACGTCGACGTGTGTCAACCTGGCAGCACTCTCCTTAAACATTCAGTGGCATTATTACTAAATCTACCTGGAGGGATTCCAAGTCTAAATGTGGAGTTCATGTTTGTGAGAGAAAAGGAGTAGACTTTTATCAGGAAAAGTCTATTGCAAGTGACTCCTTGATTCCCACTTGCTTATTAGAATACGAGAAAGCACTAAAGGAAAGAAAGATGCATTGACAATTGTAACAATATCATTTTAGAAGGAATGCATAGCTCATAGTGATATTTTCCAATCACTGAGGCTATGATGCTTTGTGAATTTGTAAATTTAATTTTAACAAGAAAGAAAATATTAAAGATATTGTGAGAAATATTTAAATTTGTAACTATAACGTAAAATTCTGATAATTTTTGGAATCATTTTCAAAAAAGATATTCTGAAAGTTGCAGACGAAAGTACTATCCACATAATTTAGAAAAAGGTCAAATATGAAAAAAATACTTTCCTAATCAATTTTCTACCAAACTTGCATATATAAGCATGGTAAAATCTTGGATCAATGAGAAAGAGCTGGTATTACTAATGATCAGATCACCTCCCTCTCTTCCTTCATTTAACAGATATTAACTTGTTGTCGGGCGTTATAACAATGCTGCAGGTCCAAGTGAGGTAGCCTCTACCTGCATAGACCTGTCCGTTCTATAAACAAATAGGCGCTAAATAAGTAAACCAACAGATTTTAAAATATTAATCACATATTGTGATAACTGCACAAGAAATATATAGGATACTGGAATATAGAGAGAATTCTGCTTATCAATTGCTGCAGAGCAAACCACTGCAAAACTCGCTGGCTTAAAATAATTTATAACAATAGAAGATTTTTATCTCATTATCTTGGACAAGATATTGGACAGGACACAGTGGGAATGGCTTGTCTCTGCCCTACAGTGCCTAGGGCCTCAGCTGGTCTGACCGCTTTTTCTCTCTTTCTCTTTCTTTCCCTTTCTTCCTCTCTCTTTCTCTCTCTCAATCTTTCCTTCTTTCTTCCTGCACAAAGCGACTCCATATAGCTAATTTTGAGCTTGCTCAAAATATGACAGCCTCAGGGATTTCAGACCTCTTACATGACGGTTTGGGGCTCCAAGAGCAAATATTTCGAGAAAGAAAAGTGGAAAGTTTCAGTCCTCTTAAAGGTTAGTTTAGAACTGGCACAATGTCATTTCTGGCTATTTGGTATTAGTCAAAGTGGTCACGGTATAGCTCAGATTCAAAGACAAGACTCCTATACCTCTCAGTGGGAGGAGCAAATGACACAACTCCTTAGCCAACTTAGGAAATTTCTGATATAGAATAATGCCTTGGTTTCTGTGCTATAGTCACTAAACACAAAAAAACCTGAAGAAGCAGAAAGAAAGATCAAATTTTGTGATGTGATGCTTAGAGGCGCTAGGTGTTATGGTAGCCAATTAAGAATAAAGAAAGATGCAATGTCTATGCTACAGAAGCAGAAAACAACACAAGGAGTAAGTTATGAATCAGTGAACCATCATATTTGGGTTGAGCATGTAAAAAAATGTGATATTTCTTCCAAAAGGCTTCTATGCCTATTTATCCATAAGGTGGAGAGAAACTGGTCTTGGACATTAGAATTTGTGACTCTAGTGCTTGGAATCTCATTATATTGACATAGAGACCAAAAAAACTTGAAATTTCTGGGCCCATGTTTATTTGCGTTGCCATAACCATCCAAAGTACTTAATCTGAACACCACATTGAATTACATTGACTATGTAAAATTAAATGCATGTATAACTTCTAAGGGCAAAATGTCTACACTGTAAGTATTATAAGACTCATTGATATCACTTGATAGCATATCCACATGCTCTTAATGGATATGGATCATGCAGATCTGCTGGCTTTCCCCACACGTGAATAAGTGTGAATGTGCATGGCTAG